CCTCAGCAAGTTTGCAGATGACACTAAACTGGGAGGAGTGGTAGATACACTGGAGGGTAGGGATAGGATAAAAAAGGACCTAGACAAATTAGAGGATTGCGCCAAAAGAAATCTGATGAGGTTCAACAAGGACAAGTGCAGAGTCCTGCATTTAGGACGGAAGAATCCCATGCACCATTACAGACTAATGCAGGACCGAGCAGCTAGGCAGCAGTTCTGCAGAAAAGGATCTAGGGGTTAGAGTGGACAAGAAGCTGGATATGGGTCAACAGGGTGCCCTTGTTGCCAAGAAGGCTAACGGCATTTTGGGCTGTATAAGTAGGAGCATTGCCAGCAGATCGAGGGACATGATCATTCCCCTCTATTTGGAATTGGTGAGGCCTCATCTGGAGTACTGTGTCCAGTTTTGGGCCCCACACTACAAGAAGGATGTGGAAAAATTGGAAAGCATCCAGCGGAGGGCAACAAAAATGATGAGGGGGCTGGAGCACATGACTTATGAGGAGAGGCTGAGGGAACTGGGATTATTTAGTCTGCAGAAGAGAAGAATGAGGGGGGGATTTGATAGCTGCCTTCAACTACCTGAAAGGGGGTTCCAAATAGGATGGCTCTAGACTGTTCTCAGTGGTAGCAGATGACAGAACGAGGAGTAATGGTCTCAAGTTGCAGTGGGGGAGGTTTAGATTGAATATTAGGAAAAACTTTTTCACTAGGAGGGTGGTGAAGTCCTGGAATGGGTTACCTAGAGAGGTGGTGGAATCTCCTTCCTTAAAGGTTTTTAAGGTCAGGCTTGACAAAGTCCTGGCTGGGATGATTTAGTTGGGGATTGGTCCTGCTTTGAGCATGGGGTTGGACTAGATGACCTCCTGAGGTCCCTTCCAACCCTGATATTCTATGATTCTATGATTCTAATGTCCCTAGAGAGTTAACTGTTATTTCTTGAATCCTTGGAGCTATTGTATGGGAATTTGGTTAGTACAAACTGATATTTATAAAAGGTCAAAAGGAAATGTAAAAGTGTCTTTCCTTTCTTTTCCTTGCCTTCAAAGCAGAGAATGCAACATTGCATAAAGAACTTGCTTTTGCCACTATGCAAAGATTTTTTTTTTCAGTACTCCCAGTATTTAGTGCAGAATTCTATGAGTGGAGAATTATTCTCCAAATTACCAGAGGCAAGACGATATAATAGTCTTTTATTCTATTTCAGAACATATTACTCTTCCTTTACGAACTGTTTCCACAGTTTACTCTAATCTTCCTGCAACCTGTCTTGTAGAGGACATATAAAATTGAGGCCCTGCCACATTTGTGCACCTGTTTAATTTTAAGTGGGTGAGTAGTCCCAGTGGCTTCAATATACAGTGTGACCAAGAGCTGCAGAATCAGGCCCATTGTTTGTGACGCACTTTGGGATAAATAGCATATTAGCAAAATAGGGTGTGTTAAACCCAAATCTTGCACCATCCTTTATGGGAGAGTCTCAGACTCCTCCAGAAGGACTGTGTGCAGGCTGAAATATATTGTACTATGGTCTGTATGTGTTATACTGATTTTGTGCCTATATTCAAGGCTGCTGTACTAGACACTTAGACGTAACTGATGCAGTAAGTTCCCCAGATTTATGTCACAGAGCTGCATGGAGTTATGTGACATTTTGTGACTATGTTAATCAGTTACAAAACAAGTCAGTAAATTGCCTGGTTCCTTAACCCATGGGAATCCAGGGAGCCAGACACCATCCTTCACCCAGGACATTGGCTCCCCCTCCAATACTGGATCAAATTCAAGGTTCTGGTCCTCATAGCCAATGCCTGATCACCTATATAAGGTCTTTCCCTCTGCAGTGCTCCAAGAACACTCCACCAATAGGCATGAGGCAGCTGATGGCACCAAGAGCAAGATTCTACAGTGTTCTCTGTGGAAGAACCTAACTATGGAGCTCTCTGGTATAGGACATCAAACTCAACTCACGGCGTGCCTCCTTCAGGGCCTGATCTTGTTTCCATTGCAGTCAATGGCAGGGCTCCCACTGACGGACTTAATGGCAGGTGGATCAAGACCCAGAGCAGGCATCTATTTACACAAGTCTCTCCTTAGAAGAAGGGATGACTCTCCAGCCAACAAGCCCCATTTCCTAATAAAGTCCTCACCCGGACAGACAAACAGCCTATGGAGTATGACTCCTGCCACAGGCAGAGCATAGAATCCTGCCCTCCTGCCCAGACCGCTCTGAGGCTGTTCTGATATTTAGCCAATGTGGCTGGCACACTCTAAACAGAAGGATCAGACAGAAGGGACTGAAGCACCATCTGGGGTGGAGCAGGCAGGGACCCTGAGGAGCAGAACTTCTGTACCACTAGAGATTCACATAGCAGGGGAAAGTGCCGATTGTGTGGTGTTCCCAAGAGTCACAGGATGAGAGCGCCACTCCTCTTCCTCCTAGGAATCCCAGATGCCAGCCATCACACTATCCAGCCTCCTTCTCAAAGCCCTTCCTCACCGCACGCTCTACAGCCTATTCGTGAGGCTGGCCACACTGCCCATTTCCTGTGGAGCCTCAAGATGTGGTGGGCAGAGAAGCTGAGGAAATGGAAATTGGAAGGAAAACAAGCCTTTTTTTCTGGATTACTGCAGAGGGGAAATTATGGAGCTGTTTCCACTTCCACAATATCTAATTAAACCCAAAGCTCTTGCTATGCTCCATTCTGAATACTGTATACAGACTCTAAATCTACTGGATATGCTCTAGTATATACAGAGGTACAGTGTAATTGTACTGGACTGGCCTATGCTGTATTTTAACCTATAAATTCACAGTACCTGATGGTTTGTTTCCCCTATTTACAATTATATTAAATTTCAAAAACCCAGCTCCCACAGGAGGCTATGAAAGGGCAACAGGTACAAAAGACCCCCGCACCTCTTTCATACTGGCATCTAGTACTAGGGGAACACACCACACTACACCCCACAAAATATTGTGCCACTTTAACTATACTGGTGTAGTTATATTGGTACAACCCTCCACATACACTCAGTGTGGGTGCACTTATAGTGATAGACGTGTTTTATCAGTGTATCTCAGTCCCATATAACTGCATCCACATCTGGATTTGTACCAGAATATCTATAATAATAAAGGTTTCAGAGGAACAGCCGTGTTAGTCTGTATTCGCAAAAAGAAAAGGAGTACTTGTGGCACCTTAGAGACTAACCAATTTATTTGAGCATGAGCTTTCGTGAGCTACAGCTCACAAACATCTGATGAAGTGAGCTGTAGCTCACGAAAGCTCATGCTCAAATAAATTGGTTAGTCTCTAAGGTGCCACAAGTACTCCTTTTCTTTTTATAATAATAAAAAATCACACCCCTACTCAACATAGCTATACCAGTACAAAACTGAGTGTAGAATAGAAAATGGCAGTTCTCCAAGTGGCCCATTTAATAGCCCTGTTTTGCTTAATAGTCCGCCTATTCAGGCTAAAGATGCTGTTTTAAATATGTAAGCAATTAGTCTCTCTCTCTCCCTCCCTTCCCCTCCCATCCCATCTGTGCCTCTCCTATCTGCTGCATTATAATCCACTGCATACCTCTCCAGTTTGGTGGCATGTATAACACCAGATAATTCACTGTTCTGTCCAGCAACCTTTAGCTCAATTGTAACAAGCCTGGGTTTGGACACAGCAGGCCAGCTTGGCCTTGGCTAACCCCATTGCATTATTGGCCCTTTATCTCCATGGCAGGATCCATCCTGGAATCATAGCCTCATCAATGATAAGGCTGGAAGGCAAGAACCTCCTGGGTCATTCTCTGGTCCAACCCCTCCTCCTTTTTCCCTCCTCCCACCCTGTCACACACACACACACACACACACCATCACAACCCTGCCAGTGAAAGAAATTGCAGCTCTGACCCCAGCAGCCATTTCTCTCCAGCATAGAAACTAAGATTCTGGCTGTAGCTCGCAGCAAGTTACTGGGGCTAGGAGTGTGACAGGTCTCTGGGAAGTAAGACTATTGTGTGCCTTTGCTGGTAAACACAATGGGCCAAATTAATCCCTGATGTAACTCTAGTGAGATTGAGTCACAGCAGGACAATATTTTATTATTACAAAAGCAGCATCCCAATTTTCAAATACTTATTTTCCCCATGTTATATATAAATACTAATAAGGAATGTTAACAATTAATCTTATATTATTTATTTTTATATAGTGCTTTCTACCCCAAAGGACCCCATTTAATGTATACATTATACAAGAAGTGGAAAGGTACAATCACTACTGAAGCAATGTGATTATAATAATCATCATTATTAAGAGTATGTTTTGTTCGTAGAGGGACAAACCTGCTACCAGCTGGCACTCCCTCCAATACATGCATAAGCAATTGACCTGCAAAAATTCCTCCAACACCTGTATTTACGTGTGCAGATTGTGTACACAGGAAGGCTGGGGCACACATCATTTTGTAGGTGCAAAATACTTCCATTGGCATTTTTGCCAGTACAAATCTAGAGGGCTTGGCTATAAAATTTGGACCCCTGTGCAATGGGGTGCTGGTCCATGACATATAGCGCCTTTCATCTGAGGATCTCCTAGCACTTAGCAGACATTAATAAATGAAGGTTCACCACACCCCCTGGGCAGGGGTAAGTTTTAATCATACTAAGTCCATCTTCTGCACATGGTAGATCTCACATGGGTCCATAAGGAGAGGCCAAAGGTTCTGCCTATGCCAGGGTATAGCACCTCCGATGTCATAGGAGGAGTGTGCCCAGTGCTGGCAATGGATCTGCCCCACACTTGAGAAGGGGGGGATGTTACAAAGCATTTGCCTCTGCCCACCTGCCCTTGTCTGTGTGAGGGGAGTGCAGGCAGGAGCTGCTCCCACTGCTGTCCCCAGGTGCCGGTCTGTGTGTCAGACAAACTTTGAGGGGGGGAGGGAGGGAGGAGGGGGATACATTTCCCAGCCTCTGTCTCCTTCCCTCCCTCCCTCTATCAGTGTCAGGGAGGGTGGAAAAAGCTCTCTCCTGCTCCTTTGCAAAGAGGGGACCGGGCTCTGCCAGCAGCCCCTGCCCACCCCCGGGCTGCGGGGAAGGGCGAAGAAGGAGCGAACCCGGCGAGTCGGGCAGCGGGTGGGGGCGTTTCTCGGGAGAGCCCCCGAGCTGCTGGCCCTCCCGGGGGGCTCCGCCCAGGACCCCAGCGCGGCTCCCCAGCCAGCCGCCCCCCGCCCCCGGCCAGGAGCCATGCAGCTGCCGTGCCGGAGCTGGGCGCTGGCGCTGCTCACCCTGCTCGTGGGCTTCCTCATCTTCGTGGACATCTCGGAGCTCGAGGAGGAGGAGACCGGGTAAGCAGCTCCGCGCCCTGCCCCGCTCCCCGCCGCCTGCCGCCGGGGAGCGGGCTCCGGGACGGGCGCTCGGGATGCACGGGTGGGCTCTGGGCTGCTTGCAGGGGGGTCGACTGCCCGGCGGAAAGGGGGTGCTCCTTGCTGGAGGGGACAGGGTGCCGGGGTGGGTGCTAGGGGTGGAGAGGGGTGCCAGGGTGGGTGCTGGGGGTGGGTCTGGCGGGAGGAGAGGGGTTCCGGGGTGGGTGGTGGGTGCTGGGGGAGGAGAGGGGTTCCGGGGTGGGTGGTGGGTGCTGTGGGGAGGAGAGAGGTGGGTGCTGGGGGAGGAGAGGGGTGCCGGGGTGGGTGCTGGGGGAGGAGAGGGGTTCCGGGGTGGGTGGTGGGTGCTGTGGGGAGGAGAGAGGTGGGTGCTGGGGGAGGAGAGGGGTGCCAGGGTGGGTGCTGGGGGAGGAGAGGGGTGCCAGGGTGGGTACTGGGGGAGGAGAGGGGTTCCGGGGTGGGTGGTGGGTGCTGTGGGGAGGAGAGAGGTGGGTGCTGGGGGAGGAGAGGGGTGCCGGGGTGGGTGGTGGGTGCTGTGGGGAGGAGAGAGGTGGGTGCTGGGGGAGGAGAGGGGTGCCGGGGTGGGTGGTGGGTGCTGTGGGGAGGAGAGAGGTGGGTGCTGGGGGAGGAGAGGGGTGCCGGGGTGGGTGGTGGGTGCTGTGGGGAGGAGAGAGGTGGGTGCTGGGGGAGGAGAGGGGTGCCGGGGTGGGTGGTGGGTGCTGTGGGGAGGAGAGAGGTGGGTGCTGGGGGAGGAGAGGGGTGCCGGGGCGGGTGCTGGGGGGTGGGTGCCGGGGAAAGGAGATGATGGAGGAGAGAGGAAGGAGGGGCGGGGGGTTCAGGAGAGTTTCTTTGTCTGGCTCTCCGGGTCTCTTGCCTTTGCCGGTGTGGGAAGGGGGCGTGTTTCGCTCTCTCCGCTCAGGGACTGAGCATTGAGCAAGTGGGGAACGAGGGTCTCTGAGAGGCGAACAGGGGGTGCGGGGAGCAGGAACAGGCCCGACTAGCGATGGGGGAAGCCGGCACCGGTCCCGGTCCCGGCGGGATGGGGAGCAGGTACGATCCCGATGTGATGGGAGGAGCAGATGCCGGTCCGGGTGGGGATAGCAGTGGCAGGTACCGGTCTGGATGGATATGGAGGAGCAGGTTCCGGTCCGGATGGGGATAGAGGGAGCCGGTACCGGCCCGGATGGGGATGGGGAACTCGTACCGGTCCGGGTGGAGATGCGGGGAGCCGGTACCGGTCCGGATGGGATGGGATGGGAGTGGAGAGAGCCCAGTCTGAAATGTGCAGGGGTTTCCACGAGGTGGGGCTGGGGTTCTGTGATTAACTCCCTGTGCGCCCCCCCCCCCCCACCCCCTGTCCCCAGCTCCCCCTTCTGCTGCGCTTGGCCCTCCCTCCTCCCCTGGAGCCCTCTGTGTCTTGCTCCGAAGGCTCCTACCTCCTCTACTCCAGCCCCAGGCTGAGCCAAGCCTAGCAGCTATCTGCGGTGGGGCTGGGCATGACTCCATCCCATAATAACCTACTCCTAGGGGCCGCTTGGCATTAAAAGGCCAAGCATTCTATAGGGGCACAGAGTGGGGATGGACGGGGCACGTTATAAACAGCGCGGGATTTCTGTTAACCTGCGGAACTCACTGCTGCAGGCAGCATGGAGGCAAAAGATCTGACGTTTCTATGAATCAGAGTCGCGCTAACACCATCCAGGCTAAAACGACAAGGGTCCCCTCACTCCTGTTAAGAGCAGGGAAAGATTTCCCCTCCTCCTTCCCAGCACAATGAGTGCCTAGCACACAGCTGGCACCATAAAATGAATTCATTTAATCCTCTTCATGGTTTTATTATTACATTATACTGGGTGCATTTCCTGGTGCTGAGGGCAGGAGGGGTTACAGAGGGCAATAACTTTCCTTTGAATCACCAAGAGACAGGGACACTGACCTAGGTGGACCATTGCTCTGGTCTGGTTTGGCAGCTCCTATGAAATAATAAAGCTGTTACAATGTATTTAAAAGGTGGCTTCTCTTCCCTGCCCCATTTCCATCAGTCAGACAGCTCTAATGGCCCTTGGAGGTTCAGCTGCTGAGTTGTCCTTAGACTGTAAATGCTACAGGGCAGGAACCGGCTCTTTGTTACATGTTTGTACAGTGCCTTGTGCAAAGAGGTCCTGATCCCTGATTGTTGCCCCGAGATGCTACCACAATACAAATAAATAGGAATAATAATCTACTCAGGGGTGCCTCCTTGTTAGGGTTAAGGGGCATTGGTGGGGCAATGGAGCCAAGTTGCTACTGTCTTTTCTGCACCTGTTCTGGGGATATAATCTTGGCTTTTGGACTCGGGGCTGTGTGATTCCAGCATCTTTTGGAGAAACTATGGGTATTTCTACCTTTCAATTAAACACCCATGGCTGGCCCATGTCAACTGGCTCAGGCTCTCAGGGCTTGGGCTATGGGGCTGTTTAATTATGGTGTAGACCAGGAGTTCTCATCTGGGAGTCGTGACCCTTCTAGGGGGTCACGAGGTTATTACATGTGGGTCGTGAGCTGTTAGCCTACACCCCCAACCTCGCTTCGCCTCCAGCATTTACAATAGGGTTAAATATTTAAAAATGTGTTTTTAATTTAGAATGGGGATCATGCTCAGAGGCTTGCTGTGTGAAAGGGGTCACCAGTACAAAAGTTTGAGAACCACTGGTGTAAACATTCAGGCTTCGGAGGAGGTGCCCTTGAGGAGGGTCCCAGAGCCTAAGCTTGAATGTCTACACAGCAATTAAACAGCCCCATAGCCTGAGCCCCACAAGCCTGAGTCAGCTGACATGGGCCAGCCACAGGTGTTTAATTGCAGTGTAGACATACCCTAAATGCTTATGAACAGGAGAAAGTAGCTGCATAATGTGCAAAAGAGAAGGGGGACAGCACAGAGAAACAGAACTTTTCAAAGTTTTCCAACAGTTCTTAATGTATCTTTGAGAGCAAAGTCGATCTAAATTAGAGATGGCAGGAAGCTGGATTTGCATCCAGATCTGCATTTCAGCCCCCCAAATTCAAGAATGCTCAGATCCCAGGTTATGTTTCAGCCCCCCTTCTCTGCTGTCAATCCCCTCCTTTCTCTTCGCTCAGCTTTCTTGGCCTATTGAAATGAAAGCACAGTCTGTCATGTGTCCTCTGGAAGGACCAAGTAACCAACCGGGGCTAGGAATCAGGACTGGCTCTATTCCCCTCATGTCTTTCCTTGGCTCAGACATGCCCCTTGGTTATTGTAAGGAGAAGAACAGCTTGCCCGCTTTTACACATGCCCTTCCCCCCAGCTCTGGAGTCAGACGCTGGGGCCATGCATCCTGTCCAGAAGAAGATGGCTCGTATGCGAAGGGGGTTGGGTGGGAGGGGAACAACCTGCTTTTCTCACCCTCAAACACCGGGAAGTCTCAAGCATCCCAGTAAAAGCACAAATGGATAAAATGCTCATTAAATGCAAAGTGAAGGGTGTGAATATAATTGGCCGGGTGTCAAAAACAATCAGGCTGTTTTCAAGGACAATAAGTCCTCAGCATCACAGTCTAAAGAGTGGTTTCAGAGGAGCAGCTGGGTTAGTCTGTTTCCGCAAAAACGAACAGGAGGACCTGTGGCACCTTAGAGACTCACCAATTTATTTGAGCATAAGCTTTGGTGAGCTACAGCTCAGTTCGTCGGATGCATAAAGTGGAAAATGCAGTGAGGATGTTTTATACACACAGACCATGAAAAAATGGGTGTTTATCACTTCAAAAGATTTTCTCTCCCCCCATCCCACTCTGCTGCTGGTAATAGCTTATCCAAAGTGATCACTCTCCTTACAATGTGTATGATAATCAAGGTGGGCCATTTCCAGCACAAATCCAGTGTTTAACAAGAATGTCTGAGGAACAGTGGGGGGAGGGGGGATAGGAAAAAACAAGGGGAAATAGGTTACCTTGCATAATGACTTAGCCACTCCCAATCTCTATAGTGAGAGCTAAGGAGCAGGGGTGGCTGTAGCTACTGAAGTGTGACAGATGTTTCAGAGAAAGCCAGTCATTTAGTTTGTTTGTTTCTCAAACAATCCTTCTTGCTGCTCCACGTATTATTAGCCGCCCCCACTTTGCTGCAGATGGGGGCAAACTGAGGCAAAGAATTAAAACAGAGGCCAGCTTTAGAATTCAAGAACTACTCACTGCCAGGGCTGTGCTCTGACCTCCACCCCAGCCCTCTCTTTCTGCGCCGTGTGACCTGTGCACTGTTTTTGTAGCTGTATAACTATGTCCATTAGGGGTAGGATTTGTGCCAACAAGTTATTTTGATTCAACCCCTACCGTGGACACCAGATCATCTATTTAGTGAGTTATAATAGTTTCCCTTCTTGTATGTGAATAAGCTACGCCTTTATAGTGTCCACATTAGATGGGTTGTGCCACTTTGGCTGTATGGGCATCGTAAAAGAAGTGTGGGTAGGCAAGTCCATTCACCTCTCTCTGGTATGTTGCACTGGCATTTCGAATGACATTGGCACTTAGTTTTCAAAGACTCGCCTGATTCCAGGCTACTGGAACTTTAATCTTGTGGAGACTTCCTCTGCGTAGGTCCCTCTATGCTGTGTCCTTTGTTTCCCCTGAAATACTCAGAGCAAAGTTCCCTTGTAAGGCTTCCCTCTAGAACACACCTTGGGGAAGCTGTGACATGAGCGTGGCTGTTTTCTTATTCACCTTAGCCAGTGTAGCGTAATGGGAAATAATTGCCCTGCCCCTCTGCCTCTCACTGCAGGGAGAGACTAAGGCTGCAGTGACTGGGGGAATAACTATTGTCAGTTACTGACAGTAAAAATGTGGTTTTCTTTGTGAAGTTTAAAGGGACAGCATCCCCTAGCAAGTTCTGCAGGGATCCCTCCCTACCCTGATGATCCATCACAGACATTAAGGGAGCCCGTGCCCTTGCTGTCACCAGGTGACTTCGTCAATAAGCCATCCTGGTGCACACTTGACATTGAGTCATGCTTAATATGTATTAACGCTTTCTCTGCTGGACTAGACTGCATGCCTTTCAGCCTCCGTTCTAGAGAAAATATATACTGCTCTTTCAAATGAATGGTATTGCCAGTGATTTTTGGCCAGCTTGGAAAACTGGGGATGGCATGCTACCCTTTGCTAGTGTGGCTTAAAAGTCCCATTGAATCCCTCACTTCATCTGGATGTGCACAGAATAACAACAGCCTGTGGTGCCCATTTCCAAGAGACTGTGGCCTTTCCTCTCAGGCATAAAGCTGGCCTCTCCCAGCCATGCCTCCTGGCTGGATTATTGTAAACCTGCCCTTGATCCA